GCAGAGGAAGCATACCTTCAAACACCAAGGATAGGGGGTACACAACAAGGAAAAGCTGTTTCCTTCAGGTCTGCTTGGGAGTGTCTAGAGAGGCATCTGCTGGCCACAGTGATTTTCTTCTAGATCATTGGCTTTTTAATCAGTAGGTTTTCAGTTCAGGTGTCATGAGTCAGCCAGGGCTCAGTGATAGTGAGTCCTCCTCAGGAGAAGAGGAGCCCTTTGTAGCCAGCCCCGAATCAACAGAAACTGACCAGCAGGAAAATGAGCTGCAGGCTTGTCAGGATTCACAGCCAAGAGCTGTTGCAGAGCCATCACCAACCCCCAACCCCAGCTCAGCAGGTAAAAGTCAGTTGTCAGTTCCCAGCCCTCCAGTATCACCTACACCCTTAGAGCGCTGCAGATGGAGGCTGAGAATGGAGCTACAGGCAAGATGGCAAAGTGCACATCTCCTGGCCCAACGCCAGCTGGTTGCTGATAATGGAGATAAATTGTTGCAGGATTGATCCTAAGTAGCTGGCTGATGGCTTGACATTTAGGCATGCAGTTATAAAGCCGCTCAAGGAAGGCTGCTGATCTGCTGCCACTGCCTCACCTGGTTAATCCCTAATATTGCACGATATTGCTCTGCTGAATCTCTGACTTCAGACTGAATGAGACTGCTTGATCTCTGGAGCCCTGATCCTGGACTGAACAACACCAGACTTCAGAACCCACCTCTAACCGTACCTTCTTTGACAAATAGACCTGGGTGCGGCAACCAGATATTTGGAGCCTGCCAGCCAATCATACTCAGCAGCTTTTTAAGCTCCTTGTGTCCGTAGCCAGTCCAGAGCTTTGAGCTGGAATCTTAACACCTTAATTCACTTTTGCCTCACTAAATTCTGAAGAATCCATAGGTAGGTTTGCCAGGCCTCCCACTTCCTAGAACTACCTTTTGTCACTTCCAGGTTATACCCAGAACTGACGTAGCAACATCACTGATAACACATGGATCCACCCCCATATCTCAGCCCTCCCAACACTACCTACAGGCCCAAAGAACTGACTGTTACCATCAAGAGATTTATTCGGGGACCATCTTGTCTTCATGGAGCACTTTGTTTTTATCTGTGTTATTTAAGATTTTATTGCTTTTACTATGTTTTATGTGGGCTCCGCCTCTTGTAAGCCGCCCTGAACCTGCTTGTGGGGAGGGCAGGGTAAAAATGTCAAAAATAAATAAAATAAATAAATATTTTTTTCCGCATCCAGAAAAATTAACACCATTTGTTTATCCGAATGTATCTCATAATACTCTAAAACGTTGATTATAGTTCTTATATTATTTTTCAATTGACACTTTAGAAGAAAATCAGCTTGGTCTTGATGAATGGTTTGCATTAACACTCTTTTCATTCTTGCTGCTATTATGTTGGCAAAGATTTTATAATCTATGTTTAGAAGAGAAGGGAGCGGTGGCGCAGGCAGTAAGTGATGCCTGCATGTACATCTGGCTGAACAGCTTCGGGTGTTTGAGCCCCACCGCAGCCGGGGTGAGCATCCGGCCCTATGTCCCAGCTCCCGCCCACCCAGCGGCTCGAAAGCCCATTAAAGGGCAAATAGACTAATGGGTACCTGCTACTAGAGCGGGGAGGCACCCGTCCCTGTGTTACGGCGATGGTGAGCGGCGAGCGGTGGTGGTGGCGGCAGCGGCGATGGAGAAAAATGGTGGCTGGCGAGGCAAGGAGCAAGCGAGTGAAGGAGGCCAAACCAACTGGCGCGGAGGTGGAGCAACGCAGCAGGCCGGAGCCTCATCGGGACAGAGGCCGCAGCGGAGCATGCGCGGAAGTGCAAGTGGTCCTGGCCGGAAATGGAATCGCTACAGCCGGAAGAAGGGAACCTCAAAGACCAGCACCAGAAGGGATGCCGCCGACTACCTCCCGCAAAAAAAAAAAAGAACAAGACAACAACCGAAGAAGATCCGCCGAAAAAAGGGTGCCTGGTAGGGTAGTCACCACCCCTATATGTTTGTGGCCCTAGGTAAGATTCTGTAAAAATGTGATTAGCACCCTCTGTAAGCCGCCCAGATACCCTTAGGGTTTAGGGCGGGATAGTAAATTGAATAAATAAATAAATAAATAAATAAAATAAAATAAGAAAAAGGCCTATAATTTTTAATCTCTTTCGCATCTGTATCTAGTTTGTGAATTAGTGTTATCAAGGCTTGATTTCATGTATCTGGCTGTTTTCCTGTCATTACTATGTTTTGAAATACTTCTTTTAATGGTAATACTATTTGTTCTTCAAAAATCTGGTATGTTTCAGTTGGCAATCCATCCAGTCCCGGTATCTTCTTTTTCTTTAGGTTTTTGATTGCCTCAGTAATCTCACATATTGAAAATGGCTCATTTCGTATTTTTTTCTGATTCTCATTAAACCTCTTTGCATTCCATCTTTGGAGATAGTGATCTATCGTTTGCTTATCTACATCCTCTTGGTGGTATAATTTTTTATAAAAGCCTTCCACAATTTCTTTCAGTTCTTGTAAGCTATGCTTTTCTATACCGTTTCCATCTTTTAGAGTCGTAATTATTCTTTTTTCCTTTTCTTTCCTTAATTTATAAGCCAGCCATCTAGTTGGTTTATTTGCATTGTCAAAGTAATATTGTTTAGTATATTCTAATTTTTTTGCTAATTCCTGCGTCATTAATAGATTCATTGTAATATTGTTTAGTAATATTGTTTAGTATATTCTAATTTTTTTGCTAATTCTTGCGTCATTAATAGATTAATTTGATGTTGCAAAAGTTTTAATCTACTTTTTATATCTTCTGATTCCTCTCCTTTCTTTAAATCAATTTCTTCTTTATGATTTGCTTGCTTAGGGTTTCATATTGTTTTTTCCTCTGTTTTCCCCCCCAGGCTTCTTGATTAATAAACCATCCTCTTATAAATGCTTTAAAAGCTTCCCAAACTATCTCTATTGAGATTCCCGATTGTATATTTCTTTTTTAAAAATTCCTGAACTTCAGTCTTAGTTTTCTCTATTAACTCTTTATTTCTTAGTATGCCTAAATTTAAAGTCCATCTTGTTTTCCTTAATGTTTCTTGATAGTTTAACATAAGTGGGTTATGATCAGCAAATGTGTTATGAAGTATTTCTGCTTCTTCTAGATCATTCATCATTGTTATAGATGTCCACACCATATCAATTCTCAACCATGACTTATGTCTCGTGGAATAAAAAGTGTAATCATTCAATTTAATATTTCTGGTTCTCCATGCAAAACTTGAGTGTTTTTTCCTATCTATCTTTGATTCAAAAACCGCATTGTAGTCCCCTAGAATACACAGTTTGTTGAATGTTTGTGTTGTCAAAAAGTCTCATAGGAATTTAAGGAAACCATCTTGGTTTTGATTGGGTGCATATATATTTAAAATTAAGAATTTCTTATTTTGCCTTCGAATCGAGATAGCCATTACTCTTTCATATTCTGATGCATACGTTAATTCTGGGTTTAAGTAATCTTTTGCATATGTTACTATTCTTTTTTGGGGGGGTCAGGGGTACAAACTGTGTTCCTAGTTTTTTACATTCTAAATATTTTATATCTTCTTTCTTTATATGGTTGTAGTTTAAGGATTTGATGGTAAGTTCCTTTCCTTTTCTGTGGGTTATTAAGCCCATTCACATTCACTGATAAAAATTTATTTTTTTTAGTCTTCACTATTCTTATTCTTGTTTTTGTTTATCCTTTCCCTATTTTTATATTGAAATCTTGTATTTGAGATTTTTCTATTTTCTTTCTTTCCTTTTTTCCCTCCCTCTTTTTTTTTCTTCCCTGCGTCCTGCTTCGAGCCTTCTTCTTCAGATTCATTCTCTTCGTCATCCACCCATCCTAAATCTTTACCGTTTCTTTCTAAGAATTCATCTACTTTGAAAGTTGAATCTTTAAGAAACTTTATTTCCACATCTTGTATTGTCACCTTTGACACATTTGCTGCTTTTAATATTTTATCATGCATTTCTCTTTCTTTAAATTTTATATGAACTTCCCGGGACGTTTTAGTTCTTTTTGCATATGCCGAGTTTCTTTTATAAATCATTTTGATTTCACTTGCCAATCCATCAATTGTACCTATATTCAATTGTTCTGATATATTCTGTGTCATTTCCTCTTTTAAGTTTTTTTCAATACTTTCCGGTACATTTTGACACCTCAAAATTAGTGCAGCCTTATCCATTTCTAAGTTTATTAAAGTCTCTTCTATTTGATCTGTTTTTATTTTAAGCTCTTGTATCTTATTGTCCATTTCCTGCATTTTGTCTTCCATCTTATTGGTAACTGTGGCTATCTTTAACATTTCTTGTCTATTCTCTGATATTAGTTTTTTCATTTCCTCAGTGGTTATTTTTTGCGTTATTTCTTCCATTTTTAGTTGTATATGTTCTATTTCTTTTTTAATTACTTGCGTTACACTCTCCTTTATAAGGTTCTTCAAGTCTTTCACAGTCAACTGTGCAAGACTCATGGTGCCTAATTTTAATTGGGCTTGCCCTATCTGCCCTGGTGAAGTGATTGAGGCTTTTCTGGCTCCACTTCCTCCAGTGGCCACTTAATATTATAAAGTCTTAGTCTCGATTTGCTAGTCTCTCTTCTTCCTACTCTTATCTGTTATTCTTTTGTCTATTAGACTTCTACAAAAATAACGTTAGCACCCGTTCAGTTCTTTCTATTATCTGCCTATTCCTCTTTGATTTCCCCTTTATCTAGTATGAGTCAGTTTACTCCATTCCAGAGTTTCTCAGTGTCCTTCTCTCTCAGCTTCGCGTTCCTTCCTCTCTGTTCTATCAGTCAAGATGTACGTCACCACGTTGTTCCATCGCGTCATTTTCCCTGGCCACTCGAATCTCTCCGTTCCACTCTCTGTGTTTTCCTCTGCTCTCACCGCATCCCGCCTCTCCCTCCTCGTGGGTCAGGTCTCCTCCTCTACTTCTCCTCCTGAATCAGGCCTTTGCAATGGTCTCCTTGCCTCCAGAATGCCTACTGTGTACCTTGTTCCTCTCGTTCTCGGCTCGGAGGTAAGGTATTGGAGTGGGAAAGACAAAGAAAAAAGAGAGTTTTATGTTAGCAAGTTTCTTTGTCTGAGCAGTCTTTTCATAGCCGCATTTAAGGGGGTTCCCCCCTCCTGTTTACTCTTTCTATTCAGGCAGCATAAAGAAGCTTGTTATAAAGTACCCCCAGGTAGACTTGTAAGTGTAAGTCTGCAAAAGTTTACCTTTTTGGTCTTGCGTTCCCAGTGTAGCTTCCAGACTCTTTGGGTTCAACAGGTATCAACTTGTGCGCAACTTGAAGTGTTGGGCGTCCTTGCTAGCCTCCTGTGTCGGAACATACCCAGATTAAAAAAAACGTACAAGCTGCCACTCTGAACGTTTCTGGGTAAAGTTCGCTGCCAGTACTCTCCCCACAAGAGAATACTTGAAATAAGGTGGGAAATAGAAAAGAAAGGCTAGTGGAATATTCAGGGTGAGCGGAGCTCCTCCGCTCACACCCTCCTTCGTTGAGACCAGAACTGGAACTCCCACCTTCAGGAGACTTTTAGATGCTTGCTCACTCTTTACTCAATAGCTTGCACAAACAGACAGAGTGTTGATCTCTCACAGTGTCCTGGGACAGGGCAGAGTGTAAGGAACAAAAAAATGCACTCATTCACATATCAAGGATCTCAGAACTTCTGATCCACTCTCGCAGATCCAACCAATACCCTTCTCTGAAAGTGAACATCCCTGCTTCTTTAACCAAGCTAAGCACAGGGGTTCTTTACTATCTGCTGGAATTAAGCCTCTAGCCTTTCAAAATCTTGCACTATCAAAGCACCAAGGCTGTTGGCTAGGCTTTTTGCGCACAGGGGCACTTAGCAGTTGGCAGCCTCCCTTCCCCCACTTACTGCCAAACATTCTTTTGATCACAAGGTTCCCAAGGCACTGCTCTTAAAGGGAACCCAGTCCTTGTACCAAGAGCTGCTGTTGGAAGATGGAAGAGAGAGCAAGAAGAACCGCTGGGCTCATGGCAGTGTGACAGTCGACGTGCTCTTTCTTCATATATCTCTCCTTATATATAATTGAGTAGTGGGGTGGCACTTTCTGAACATTCCACACATCCCTAAATCAGTTGGCTCCATGATGTGTCACTCAGAATCTGTCCCTATCCACTTGCTACATTGCCTGAGTCTCACCCACAGAAGCAGCGCCCACCAAAACTGAACATTCCACACATTCTAAACATTCCACACATCCCTAAATCAGTTGGCTCCATGATGTGTCACTCAGAAGCTGTCCCTATCCACTGGCTACGTTGTCTGAGTCTCACCCACAGAAGCAGCGCCCACCAAAACTTTCCTCAGAAGATGGTTGCTTCGCTCTGGTGAACACAACTACTGTCTTTGTTCTCACCAGACAATGATTGATTCCCTCAAGGGACAAAACCCACCGTCTTTAGCCTCCAAGCCAATTTTGCTGAGGCAACACTTTCCACAATGGAACCCCCCCCCGCCAAGTAAACAGCTATCAGTGTAGCAGAGGCAGGGGGGGACCAGCCCAAGTTTTCACAAAAAAGCCAGTGGATACACACACAAGCAGGGATAGAGGATGAGACCAGACACACAGAAAACAGGAAGCCAGAAACCTGAGGCATGCTGCAAAGCACAAATACAGACACAGTCACAGACAGATCTATGTTTGTAGACTGCCCAATTGTAGAAATTACTCCACAGAGCCTTGTGTGCTGCATTTTCTGGCCCACATTGTGTGACCTTGGACACCAGTTATTGTGTAACATAAGGTATGTGAGACTTTACTTCCACATTTGTGCTTTTCTATCACATACTGCTAATATGTACTTAAACTGCTTCCAGCCAGTGCATTCCTTACACATGACATCTTTCTAGAGCTCGTTGTACTGCTTTTACAATGTACTTTACTGCTAGTAATATATAATATCATGACTTGTATGGTCGATTCACACATTGCAGAGATTGTAAGTTGGGTCTGGGGAGCTCTGCCCTGTGTCACCATCAGACAAAGATCATGGATTTTCATTCATCCAGACACACACGCAGCATCCAATCTGAATTGCAACTCTGCCACATGTAAACCTCCCCCCATGCCATTTTCCTGACCTAAAACGGTCTTGGGGAGGGGGGAGTCTCTGGTCTTCTGGGAAAACCCACACAAACGTATGCATCCTTCACTGACCATCAAACAGGAAGGAGCTGTGCAATTGAGACCAGCCCACAAAGTTCCTGTATCCAGGTGCTTAGCCATGCATTCTGGCTTCCATGCCACCATGAACATGGAGAAATGGGGCCTCAGCTGGTTTGGAAAGGGCTAGGCAAATTCATGGAGGGCAGGGAGCTCAAAAGAATCTTGATGTTTCCAAGCAGCAAATGTGCCTGAGCCAGTGTCGTACTAGGATCTGGGAGACCCCTGTTCAGATTTCCACTGTGCTCTGGAAGCTTGCTGAGTAACCTGAGGCCAGTCACACACTTGTTAGATTAACCTACCTCACAGGGTTGCTGTAAAGATAAAATGGAGGAGAGGAGTGCAATCCCCGTTGGGGAGAAAGATGGGGTATAAATTAAGTAAATAAATAAAATGTCTTGGAATCCCAGTTGCTAGGGACCAAGAGCAGCCTTCATCATCTTGAAGTCAATGTGATGATGTCACACATGTGCCTCATAGCCAATCAGGTGCAATACTGTAGTGCCATCACCAAGGGTAGATGACAGCGACAGTCTCAGACCCAAAACAAAAGGAGGATTTTTCTCAAGGAATGCTGATAAGTGGAGGGCTCTTTTATACTATTGATAATTTTTTTTTTTGCTGGAGTAGAAAAACAAGAATAGTTTCTGTTCAGCCATGATTTTCACTTACATTTTAGCACATTAGTGATAACCAGGGACCATGTCGTAGGAAAAAAGGTGCAGGAGATCATTTGCATAACTTATTTGCATATGCCACACCCCTTGACATCTCCCTTCCCTTCGCCTCAAAGCAGGGCAAAGGAAAAGGGGGGGGGAGGATCTCCGGGGCTTCTGCCTGACAGAGGGGCCAGCACGCCGGCCCCTCTGAAAGGCAGAATGGGTTCCATTCCTTTCCCTCTCTCCCTTCCCTTCGCCTCCCAGGGGGCGAAGGAAAAGGGGGGGGATCTCAGGCACTTCTGCCTGACAGAAGCGGGCCAGGGAAGGCGGTGGGCAGGCCAAGGAAGGCACGGGGAGGCTCCCCGCTCCTTGCAGGGCCTTCCTCGGCTCGCCTGCCTTGGCGGATGGGGCCAGGGAATGCCGGGGGGCTCTCTGCAGGCCTTCCCCGGCTCGCCCACTTTGGCGGGCAGGCCAGGGAAGGCACAGGGAGGCATTTAAATGCTTCTCCCCTCCTTTCAGGGTCTTCCCCGGCTTGCCTGCCTTGGTGGGCAGGCCAGGGAAGGCCAGGGGGGCTCTTTGCAGGACATCTCTGGCTCGCCTGCTTCAGCGGGTGGGCCAGGGAAGGCACAGGGAGGCATTTAAATGCCTCCCTGCTCCTTGTAGGGCCTTCCCCGGCTTGCCTGCCTCAGTGGGCAGACCAGGGGGTCTCTCTGCAGGAAGAGAGCTTGGGTTCTTACTGCCGGAATGCTGTCCCAGCTCTTTCCGGCTGGAAATGACCTCTGGTGATAACATGGCTCATCCTTCCTCCAACTGTGATATTTTCCCCCCTGCACTTCCAATTCATTCTCTGTGTTGCCAAGAAAACTTATCTACATTGTGGATTAATGAGGTATAAAATTACAGTTTAAAAATATTAGGACGATTCAGGAAGAATGACACAAATTCCAGTATATTTGCTGAGAGATTACATAATTCAAAACCAACATGACCAATTTCTCTTCCCAGTCTCAGTTTTGCAAAAAGAAATACAAAGCACGAAGCCAGGATTTATTCTGATTCAGCCGTCTGGCCTGTTTTCAGGCTGGCTGCCTCTCAATGGAAGCAAGTAAAAAGTGTCCTTCCTTTACCACTGTGTTTACCCATCATGACGCCACTCATTTGGGTATGCCGGTTAGAGGTATACAGCTGAACATTTGAATGGAGAGCATTGTATTTGATATGAAACATTTACCTGTGTGCTTTGAGCTGTTGTAGCAGACTGGCAAAGACAAATCAGGAAGTTCGGGGTTCAAATCTCACCTCTGCTGTCAAAACACTGCTTAGCCTAAGGCAAGCCACAATCTCCTCTGATTCAACCTCCCTCTACAATATGGGAGAAACTATAAGGACCAAGCTTGCCAGATTATTGCAAGTGCTTTGAACACTGAACCCCTCCTTCCCCAGAGCCCAATGCAGCATCCGAGGTCTTTCCCCAGCTGACGCTTCAAAAATCCTGAATCATCCCAACCCTTTCATAGTACACCCCCAAGAGTGACCACACAGGGTCACCCCCTCCCTCCCCTTCTGTGAGATTTAAAGTGCTTCAGTTGATTGGCAGGGAGCACATGGCCTGCCAGTCAACTGGAGGGCCCTTTAAATCTTTCAGGAGGGAGGGGGCTGTTGCCAGCCGCAAGTGGGGTGGGGGCCGCAGCACACAGGGCTGATTTCCCATTGGTGATTCGCCACTTGGGACTCAGGTGCATGCGCCGCCGCCCCACTCGCAGCCAGTCCCGTGTGCAACTGCCCCATTTGCAGCAAGTGGGGTGACAGCACACGTGCCTGAATCCCAAGTGGTGAATTAACACTGGGAAATCAGCTCCCTGCACCATGGCCCCCACCCCGCTCTCAAAAAGACCCTTTAAAGCTGGTCTCCCTCCCACATGCTCCCCGCCGATCAGCTGAAGCCCTTTAAATCTTGCAGGAGGGGTGGGAGGGGGTAGTCCCAGGTGGTTGTTCTTAGGGGTGGGGCTTGGGGGAGAGCTTCCCCTTCCCCTTGCTGGCCAGCTGGATGGCAGCAGATTGGAACCCCCCAAAGTGGGGGAACCCTAGCCTTGACCTGAGAGCTGGCACCCCAAGGTAGGTCTTGTGTATCCACCTCTTTGCAAGAGTATTTAAGGCCTTCACCCACCCTCAGCCTTTGCTAAAACAATATTGTGATACAGTACTGTTTGCTCCACCCTGTCCTGGATGGCCCAGGATAGCCCAATCTCATCAGATCGCAGAAGCTAAGCAGTGTCGGCCCTGGTTAGCACCTGGCCATGGGAAATCCCCTCCATTCATCTCGTGCCTTGGAAATCCTATGGCCTCTTGACTTGACAGCACTTTCCACCACCAGCAGTGTTGGCTCCAGTGCCTTAACTCCTGGACCTCAGCCGTGAAGTGGCTTGCTTTCAAGGCAGGAGATCTTTTTAGGGGGATTTCCAAAAAGAGATGTGCAGCCAGACCATTAGAAGCATTTACTCAGACTAAGTCCTACGAAGTCCCAAGCAAGGCTCTGCAGGTTTCCAGCCATGCCTTCTCCAGTTGATGGGTCTCTTCTGTGGGGTTTGAAGTCAGGGCCCTGAGTGTACTGCGATTCCACGGGAAGGTCGGACAAGCTCACAGGGTAATTCAGCATCTCATTAAAAGAAAGCAGGATTTTAGACCTGATCAGCAGAAAGATAGGCTTGAGAGAGCCTGGGCAATATCTGCTAAAATCCTGCCTGCCAGGATAATGTTTCCAGTGATTTGGGGACAAGGGCTTCAGTGCCTAGTGTGGTTTATCCCCAATGTCTAAACCAAATCAAGCAAAATAATTTTTTTAAATAACCTTTTAAAAAGTCACATTATGCAGAATAAGTTCATTGGCATAATCCATTTGCATACCCACAGCGCTCCCTATAATCCTTTCTGAAAGGAGGAGCTAGTTTTATACCAGATGAATTATTCTGTGTAACTTCGAAGCTTGTGCACAGTGGTTGTTGGTGCTTCAATGAAAAGTGCTTTCTTACCCATGCTGCTGTTTTTTCAAGGGCTCAAACAGAGTAGACAAAGATCACCTGTCTTGGTCTGTTCATAAAATGCAAATTGCAAGTTCACAGGGCCTCAATTTGCCTCAGGACTTTTCAGGGAAGGAAGGGGGGTTAACTCTTCAACTTCCACTCAGTTTTGTTAATTGAAACCGGGCTTCTCTGCTTTGTTTTTATCAATGTCAAGGGAAGGTTGGGTTTTTAAAGGATGCATCTTCTTTAAAATTATATTAAGAGACCAGAAAAAAACAGTTTCCAGCAGCAACCCTAAGTGTTAAAGCCCCCACACTACACCACACCAAGGTTAACTGAAGGTGCGGGGGCATTGTTTTTGCTTTTTATGCATGGTCCAAGATGCATGCTCTTCCTATCATCTGTTTGAGCTCCCTGTCTTCCATCTAGCACATCTCTCCTGCCTTTGCATTGCCCCACAGGTGTGTTCTTCACTTTTCATACCTTCCATTTGGAAAGCGGCCATGATTACTTGCTGATCACGGAAAACGGTAGCTTCAACCAGCCACTAAAGCAGCTCACCGGCTCCCGCCTGCCTGCCCCTTTCAGCGCTGGCCTCTTTGGGAACTTCTCTGCTCAAATCCGTTTTATCTCAGACTTCTCAATTTCTTATGAAGGATTTAACATCACCTTTTCAGGTAGGGCTGGTTGTTCCTTTATGGCGGGGGGGGGGGCATAGAGGTGATTTGTATTAGTTTGTTGCTCAGCCCCTCCCCCTTCCCCCCAGCTTTCATAGTTGAGAACCTCTTTGTGAGATGGATGCAGCTGTGGTCTAAATAGGTAGGGGGTTACAGTGAAATACCACCACCCCCAGTTGCAAATTTAGGGCAAACAATGGAAGAGATGTCAGAAACTGTGTTGTACTTTCATGCAGAGCACAACTGAATAAAAAGGCCCAGTCAAATGAATACAAGGTCCAATAAAGTGAACAAAAGATGGTGTCAGATTAGATGTGACCTCCCCCACTGGGGATTAATTGTCATAGCATGAGGACTACCGTATTGTAGCCCCCAACCCTCTTGGCTTTTATCCACATGGGTCCCTAGTATAGCCTTTTCAGTGTTCAAAACAGAACCTTCCTCCATCTTTCACCAGTGGCAAAACTGGTAGGATCCAACCCCTAGTAGGAGCTGGCCTCTTCTGATCTCTGTTAAACTTGAGTTCAAGACGGATTAGCTAATGAATTCCAATTTGGTGGCTTCTCACTGCAGCCTCCCTTTGAAACTTTGTTGTTTTGTTGTCAAAGAGTTTTGTGACTTGAACATCTGCACCCAGACTCCCCTGGAGCATCTCATTCTGTCTGCTACTATGGAATGCAGTAACAGTTAAATTCATTGCTATTTTTCCCTAATGAAGCTCTGAGCAAACTTTTTTTAAAAATCAACCTTGATTAAAAATCGGCAGGGCCTCTCAGGAACCAGATAAAGCTGCTTCACGGTGCAACATCTGTGGCATGGTCTAAAAAAGAAAGGTAGAGTTACTGGCATGTTTCCCAGTGCATAGTACAGATCACCTGTTCTCATCTGCTAAAAGCCCTTCTATACAAAGACAATTCCCTTTACCTTTAAAGAAATCACCCTAACATTTCAAGAAGAAAACATCTTGTTTTCTACATGCAGGGACATTTGAGGCTGTGCTTGCCGTTTGGTGTGGTTACAGATTGAGGAACTGGCTTTTCGGCATCAGTTAGGCCTAATGGTGGAAGAAAAGCAAACTGAGGGCTCATGGTCTGTATGGTAATGTCATGGCTTGTGTCTGTCTATCAGAGTATGACTTAGAACCTTGTGATGAGCCCGAGGCTCCAGCCTACAGCATCCGCAAGGGCCTCCAGTTTGGCGTGGGGGACGTCCTTACCTTCTCCTGCTTCCCTGGTTACCGGCTGGAGGGTGTCTCACGTATTACCTGCCTGGGCGGTCGACGGCGTGTGTGGAGTTCCCCTCTGCCAAGGTGTGTTGGTAGGTGGTCACATGCTTTAATTTTGCTTGGGCAATCTACTGTATCGTAATGTTCAATGGGGACGTGGGCTGGCCCTGTGCAGGGTTGTGGGGATTTTGTTGTTGCCCCCAGATGAGGTGTTGTGGCACAGGGAGGAAAGGGCGATTGAAATGAAATATAGAAGGCTCTGGCTTTCTTGTCGTTATTTTTGTTCCTAATCCCTGCTATGCTGTCCTCCTAACAATGGGGGCTCAACTAGACGATACATTTTCCCAAGTGGAAATGGCTGTGGGCAGACCCTTTTTGCCCCACTGCAGGGCTCCATGTGCTGAAGCTTCTCCTCCCCACTGCACTTGTCATCTGAATTGTGACAGGAGTTGGTTTGGGGGGACCCCCCCCAACCCAGCTCATATCACATACCATCTAGCTGGGACAGGTAAGTGGGACAGGAAGGGCAGGTGTGATGACAGGGAACAGTGGAGCCAGGTGAGATTTTTAACAGCTGGTACAGAACATTGTTGAAGTTTGGACCAGTTTGGTGTAGTGGTTAGGAGCGCGGACTCTAATCTGGGAGAACCAGGTTTGATTCCCCACTTCTCCACATGCAGCTGCTGGTGTGACCTTGGGTCAGTCACAAGTTCTTTCAGAGCCATTCTCTCAAGAGCAGTTCTTGAAAGAGCTCTCTCAGCCCCACCTACCTCACAGGGTGTCTGTTGTGGGGAGGGGGAGGGAAAGGAGATTGTAAGCCGCTCTGAGACTCTTTGGGGTAGTGAAGGGTGGGGTATAAATCCAATCTCTTCTCTTCTCTCTCTTCTCTCTGTTCCTAAGAACTTTGGGAAGGGTCATGTTCATATCTTGGTTATTAGAAGACTCCCCACCCCCTTTTGAGCTTCAGTGCCTTCACTCCAAGGGATTCACAGGTCATTTCGGGGAGGAGCAGTGGCTCAGTGGTAGAGTATCTCCTGTGCATACAGAAGGTCCCAGGTTCAATCCCCAAAATCTCCAGTTAAAACGTCCAAGCAGTATGTGATGTAAGTCACAGTCTCAGCCTGAGCCCCTGGAGAACCACTGCCATTCTGAGTAGGCAGTACTGAACTTGATGGGCCAAAGGCCTAATTCGGTATATGACAGCTTCATGTGTTCACTTTCCACCCCTCTCATTCTATAAACCAAATCTGTTTCCTTTTTAGTGAAAAAAAATGATATTGGCAATAAGCCGCCCCACACAGGACCTTTTACCTCAGAGATTTTTTTTTAATTTGACCCCAAGGTCTGGAAGGCTGGGGCTACAGCTTGCCTTGTAGGAGCTTAGATTTACTAAATCAAGGAAGATGGAGCCAGAGAGGAAAGAATGCCTGGACATTGAAGAGGACCAATGGGGGTTCTGTGCACGGGGAGTCAGAATCTCTGGGTTTCTGTTTCCCTCTTTGATCACTTTGCCTCACTGCAAGGACATCTCCAACTTGTAAAGGCCTGTCACTCCGCCTCTTGCAGTATGACTGAATGGATATTTTGGTCTAAGTGGTGATGCCCCCGGACAATAATCTGGGTCAAAAATGGATGAGTGTTCAAGATCTTGGACTGACTGTAAGTTCCTTGGGGGCCGCCAATGTTCAGGACAGATAAAAGGAAACTCTGCTTTATTCAATTAGTAACCAAACTGTGGAAATCACTGCCAGTGGGCATAGTGATGGTCAATGTTCCCTCTAATCTGTGGAGTCCTGTGAGCAAAAATTCTACTTTGTGAGCTCCTGGCATTAAAGTTGTGAGCGAGCAATTTGGCTACTGTATAAATTAGTTTGCTCTGGAGCCATCCTTCCTGAGCCAAGACAAAAATGTGTGAGCCAGAGGCTAAAGAACTGTGAGCTAGCTCACACTAACTCAGCTTAGAGGGAACACTGGTGATGGTCACTGGCATAGCTGGCTTTAAAAAGAGATTCGACAGATTCATGGAGGAGAGGTCCATCAATGGTTACTGGCTATGGTAACTAAAGGTAACCTCTTTAGTCAGAAGCAGCAAACCTCTCAATTACTGGCGCTGGAAGGCAGCATCAGGGGAAGGACTTGGCCTCTGTGTCATGTTAGTTGACCCTCCACTGCCAGTGGTGGGTTGCTGTGTGAAACAGGATGCTGGATTTGGTGGACTTCTGGTCTGATACAGCACACTGTACTTATGTTCTTGTGTTGACTGTAGCCAGAGGAAGGGTTGGAATTCTAGCAGCACCTGCGAGCCCTGATCATCCAGCACTGCTACTTTTCTACAATTTATTGAAGTTTTGACATTCACTGCATGTTTGATTCAAGACTCTGTGTGTATGTACATCTGTCCAGTGTTTCTACATATCCAAACACAGATTACAGGATGAAACCGAAATGTACGCTCATGCATGTCTGTCTAGCGTTTCTACATATCCAAACACAGATTACAGGATAAAACCGAGATGTACACTCACACTTTATACAAAGTGCACATCCTGTAGATGTTAAACTTCAATTGCTCTGTTTCTCTCTGTAGCAGAATGTGGGTCTTCTGTAACTGGCACTCAAGGGGTTCTGTTGTCCCCAAACTACCCCCTCAACTACAACAACCACCATGAATGTATATACTCCATCCAGACGCAGCCAGGAAAAGGAATCCAGCTGAAAGCCCGGTCTTTCAACCTGGAGGCCAAGGACATCCTCAAGGTAATAACTGCTCATCTGGTGAGAGAGAAGAGATTTACAGACAGGTTAAATAAACAGCCTGATGGAAAAATCAGCTCAAATCCAATTTGCTTAATCCCAAGTGGAGTCTGCAGCCTCACCAAGTGGAAAGTCACAGTCAGGGTGAAGTTCATTGGTTGCAAATATATCTGCTCGGTTCTGGCAGTGCAGCTTTTCTCAAAACAGTGCCAAAGGAAACACTCTCATGAAGCATGTATATAGACATATATTGATTTAGTTAAAACGTTTGGGGGAAGGGGGGACAGAATAGTGGCCTGCATCCTACTATCCTGCTCAGCAAAGTTGGAAGCTGTCCTCTGCCCTAAAGAGCCTCCTGCCCTGACCTGGGATGACCCAGGCCAGCCTGATCTCATCCAGTCTCAGAAGCTAAGCAGGGTCAGCCCTGGTTAGGACTTGGATGGGAGACCACCAAGGAAGTCCAGGGTTGCTCCGCAGAGGCAGGCAAGGGCAAACCACCTCCATTCATCTCTTGCCTTGAAAACCCTAGGGGGTCGCGATAAGTTGGGGGGGCACCTTGATGGTTGCCAAACAGCCTCCTAACTTCAGCAGTTCTTCTGGTTGGAGGAAGGCTCCTTAGGCTTCAGATTTGCTGAACAGAAGCTTTTAGGATAGCTTGCTCACTTTCTCTGGCATAATTTTAATGCTGAATGGCTGTTGATTTTGTTTCTGTGTCACAAATGGTGTAGGTCTTCAGCACAGTTACTTCTCTTGCTGGAGACCACGCAGGGGAGCTCAACTGTTAGTGGAACATCTTTAACCTCAACCTGGAACATGGGACCTCATTTTTTTAAAAAAAATATCTACTGTATCCTTCTAATCAATGTCTCTTTGCCCCCCCCCTTAAAAATAAATATTTAAGGTGGGGGGAAGGGTGTGCCAATGATAACAACCCACCTGAAGTCAGGGACAACTCAGTTGCAAATTACAATCCATCAGTTGAAGACCCAGGAGTCTATACCGGTGCAAAGACTTCCCATAGGAAGATATGGAGAGGACAAGTCCACTCCAGACAACATTCTCCCCCCCTCCCCTTTTTCTTTTTGCTGTTGTTTTGTTTAGCTTTGAATTTCATTGGTGTGATAAGTTTTTGAGTAACACAGAATTCTCTTGTCACCAAGAATGGCATGCAAGCCTCCTGAAGGAGCATGGTTGGAACAAGATGTGCCAGGTACATCATCTGGGGATACCAGTGTGGCTAGCAAAATGCCCGTTACAGTAGTGGGAAGAATGGGGGTGTAAAGGGAGGGCTTGTATATTGCATAGACCCCTATTTGATATCGCACATAGAGATATGACTACACAAACATTGGTCCGTGGGGTGAGGCCAGCCGTCCCCCTAGTTGTCCCCAAATGTCTCGCATAACTGTTTCCACAGGATGAATGGCGCAAGCATTCACCTATGGATGAAAGTAAAGGTACTAAACTTGATCCTGATGACCCCCCCCCCCCGTCTCTGAAAATCAAGACCCCTCCTATCTGGATAGCCCTAGACCTGGTTGGGCTTCTTGGTCATTTAAAGGAAAGAATTGGCTCAATGTGTGCCATACATTCCTGTGGTGAGGACAAAGTGCCTTGCTTCACAGGCCCCTGCCTCTATCTAGCCCTCAGCCTTAGCCCAGAGAACTCAGTTCTTACATCACTCTTCCTCCAGTGTGTTCTTGCCCTGTTCTCCTGGGCTTGCTGTGAGTTGCCCTGCAGTTGATAGCGCATATATCCCACATACCAACCCTGTTCCCTTCCCTAGAAACTCTCCCAGGCCTTGAAGCCTCAAGCAAGCCTGGTTGCCAGGATAACAGGTTTTCAACAGTGGGTGGAGGCTTCAAACAAGGCTAGCAGCAAGGCTATCACCCAGGCAACTGCCACTCCCCTACTTCTCTCTGGCCACTTGGCCCCTTTGCCAGGTCACCTCTCGGGTGTCAGCAGGGTCTTTTCATACAGCTTCAGTGGAAAGTTAGTGCTATACCCTTCCCTGGCCTGTTGGAGGATGACACCTGGCTCTTTTGAATGTAGTAAGCAGAGCCCTCCCATGGGACCATAAGCAGGAGCAGGGCCAGTGCCCACAGGTAAGGGACCAACAAACAACTCCTGTGGGGAAAAGTTAAGCTGTGTATGGAGATAACCCAAACTAGCCTGATCTCATCAGAGCTTGGAAGGTAAGCAGAGTCTGCCATGGTTAGTACTTGGATGGGAGACCACCAAGGATGGCTGGGATTGCTGTGCAGAGGAAGGTAATGTCAAACCACCCCTGCTCGTCTCTTTCCTTGAAAACCACATGTCCTGAGGCAGCAGGGCTATTTTTGGGCAGGAACACACAGGAACGGAGTTCCAGCTGGCTCCCTAGTTGGCCACGCCCAGCAGGAACTCATCAGCATAATAAGAGAACATAAGAACATAAGAGATGCCAATGTTGGATCAGGCCAAAGGCCCATCCAGTCCAACACTCTGTATCCCACAGTGGCCAGAAATACCAGTGCCATCAGGAGGTCCACCAGTGGGGCCAGGACATTAGAAGCCCTCCCACTGTTGACCCCCCCCCAAGCACCACACCCAATAATAGGCCACACCCAACAGCAGAAATCCATTAGGATTGGCTTCATTAAGTGCAAAGGAGTTGCTGCTACAATAAAAGCCCCAGGTTTTGACAACAAACAAGGTAAACAGAATAAGAAGCAAAAGGTGGGTGTGGCTGGATGACCACACTTCTGGTGACTTGGGGTGTGTTCTAATGTGCTAATGAGCTGTGCTGGCAGGGGTGTGGCCTAATAGGCTAATGAGTTTCTGGTGTTGGGTGTGGCCTATTATGCTAATGAGTTCCTGCTGGGTTTTTTCTACAAAAAGAGCCCTGTGAGGCAGTCATGAGTCAGTTGCCACTTGACAACACACAATTATTACTATTAATTATTGGGGGAAACTGGTCCTGGCTCACTGACAAATGTACGTATAGGACCATCAGTAACATAAGCAAGGAAAACTGAGTCAAGTCCATTAGCACCTTAGAGACCAACAAGAGTTTCAGTGTATTTATTTATTTATTTATTTATTATTTATTATAGACTTTTGTATAGGCTTTTGAGAATCAAAGCTCCCTTCGTCAAACACGAGTCAGGCAAGGGATCTTTGACATTCAAAAGCTCATACCCTGAAACACTTGTTGCTCTCTAAGGTGCTACTGGACTCAAATCTGTTTTACTGCAGACCAACACGACCGCTCTCTGAAACTATAAGCAAGGAAGACAAGGAAAGAGGCAAAACTCATCTGTTCCCATTGGCCAGAAGGAGATACCTTGGAAGGACCTTCTTGACCCAAGACAAGAAGAGGAGCCCGTCCTCACATGCAGTTCTTCCCTCTTTTCCAGATCTACGATGGCAACAATAACTCTGCCCGCTTGCTGGGTTCCTTCACCCGTGGGGAGATGTTGGACCTCAGCATCAACAGCACTTCCAGCACCATGTGGCTCGAATTCATCTCAGATGGCAACAGCACAAGTCAAGGCTTCGAACTACAGTTTTCTAGTAAGTTCCAAGACTGGATTGTTCAGACATGAGCAGACTCAGTTCTTGCAATCCCTTTTTTTTTTAAAAAAAAGGAAAATCAAAATGACACAAAAGAGGGTGTGAGTTCTTGTCTGGAGAATAATAAAAGGTGTTACAATGAGGCTTTTAGTTTCTGGGTTTTCCTTTGGACCAACATGGTACCTGGAAGTTCTCTTGATTTTGGAAATCCATAAACCAGAAAGCCATCAATCTCAGTGCAACATGTGAAGGGATGAAGAGAGGGAACAGAAGCATTTTTGGCTCATTCACACTGTGCATAAGTTATGGTGTCAGATTTGAGTCCAGTAGCACTTTAAAGAATGACAATATTCCCAGTGTATAAGCTTTCGAGAGTTAACTCCCTTTGTCAGGTATCTACTGCAGACCCACACCACTACCTGAAATTATGGTATGTTCGTGATGTCTGAACATATCTCTAGAGTCACAAGGAGCTTTTCCGTAGCCCATTTGTAACAATGGCAAGTGGAAGTCACTCACAGCTTCCATGCAGAGAGAATTGGAACAGAAATGGCACAGGGTAACTTGCCAAGTCTGTCTGTCTGTCTGTCTGTCTGTCTGTCTGTCTGTCTCTCTCTCTCTCTCTCTCTCTCTCTCTCTCTCTCTCTCTCTCTCTCTCTCTCTCTGCTTGGTCTCAACTTCTTTTTCTCTTGAGGACTCAGGAAGAAGTTATTCAAGCTGTGCTTTAGATACAAGCAAATTTCCTTTTATTCATTTCCATTAGTTCATGTGAATCTACAAGTTGTTAATTGCTTCACTGAAAAATGATCAGTATGCTTATTCTTCTGCAGATAGCTACTCTCACCCCTGTATCATTTTGTTCTTTTGTTCTCATTGACCAAAAATCTAGTAAGTACTGTTCTTATGTATAGTTTAACAGATCAGTGTATTAAGACTTCCTTGTTCTTAATAAACCTTCCATCAATCTCCTTCCCTGCCCACTGTACCTTGAATAAATGCATCTTTTAAAAAAAGAAAAAATACAGAATATGAGTTAGTATACTATACAAAGGCAGCCTGAATAGCCGAGTCTAGCCTGAGCTTGTTAGACTTTGGAAGCTAAGAAGGGTCGACCCTGGTTAGTACTTGGATGGGAGACCACCGCAGAAGACCTGGTTGCTATGCAGAGCCAGGCAATGACAAGCCACCTCTGTTCATCTGTTCCCTTGAAAACCCCTCAAGGAGTTGCCATGAGTTGGTTACAACTTGACGCCACTTAATTATTATTATATAAGGACACCTGACACTTGGGAGTCTGCTCTGCCCCTCAGCACAGTCCCTGGACTCAAGATAATCTTGCCTCAGCTTCTCACTTTCAAGCTGAGAGCACAATCAGATTGTTAAAAATTGTTCCACCTCACCAGAGTCAATAAGATCAAAGAGTCTATCAGAGATCAGCCGTCCAACATTGCTCATCCTTCAGTTTTAAACATGGCCCCAGTTTAAAATTTTAGTTGCTGACCAGGGAAGTAGAGTGGTGTATGGAAGTGGGAAACCTGAATTCGAACCACACTTTTGTGGAATGGCTGGCAAGAGACCATGCATTTCTATAGTTCCCACAGACACATACATACCCCCCCCCCCCAAATGGGAAGAATTTGACTGAAGCTGAAAGATTCTTTTGTGCATCTAGGAGGGTATGTCTGTGTGCTGCCAGTTGCTTACTTGCTTAGCTAAGCCCTGTACAAATGGAAGGGGGGAGGAGAATCCCTGCTGCTTAATTTCTAAAAGAAAAGGGTCTGCTTTGGAACATGTCTTGGAATCCCTTTGCTTAATCCAGATGCAGGGCTTACAAGGCAGAGATGTTCCACCAGGCTTTTGGTTGAGGACAGCAACCAGTACCATCCTATCTGGTCCTCCCTTCCCCTCCCACATCCTGTTTTTTTTCTCCATCTGTTTGCGAGACAGTAATGCAGTTTGTGAATTGATTTTAGCACCATTCGAAAATGTTTTTAGCTATTTTAATACTTTGGATTTTAAATTGTATAGTTTTTCTGTTGTTAACTGCCCTGAGCTCTGTGAACTCAAACAAGGGTGGTTTATAAATCAAAATGAATGAATGAATGAATGTCAGGTTGAATATTTGATATAACCAACTGCCCTTTGCTTCTGCTTTCCTTTCAGGTTTTGAATTGATCAAGTGTGAGGATCCTGGCATCCCACAGTTTGGGTACAAAGTCCATGACGAGGGCCACTTTTCAGGGAGCTCAGTTTCTTTTAACTGTGACCCTGGCTACACGCTTCGAGGGAGCCGCGTACTGGTCTGCTTGACGGGGGAACGGCGTGCCTGGGATCAGCCGCTACCCATCTGCGTAGGTATGAGTCCTCCTCTTTTGCCTGGTTGCCCAACTGAGTTATTCCCTTCAAGCATGGCTGATAGACCTCGTGAGTCGTCAGGAAGAGGGTATTCAAGCCACGCTTCAGATATAAGCAAATTGCCTTTTATTCAATTCGAGGTATGCCATTAAAAAAAGAAAGGGTAGCCCTGACCTGGATAGCCCAGGCAAGCCTGATTTTGTCAGATCTCGGAAGCTAAGCAGGGTCGACTCTGGCAAGTACCGGTACTTGGATGGGAGATCTCCTTGGAATATCAGCTGTCAGGAGGACAGAGGCAGGCTTTATTCAGCCACCTCTCTGAATATCCTCCAGGCCTTCAGTAGGGGTCAGTCACTAGAGGTCGCCATGACTTCCAGGTGCACACACACTCGCATGCACACACACAACTCACGCACATATGAAAAATACAAAAAAAAAAACCCTAAAAATAAAAGGGAAGGGTTGTATTACATTTGCATAAGTCCAATCATAAAAATGTTTGTATGTGTGTAGGTTTTAGGGGGGTTGTCCTACATTAAGGGCCATTTCCCTTTCGAGTGAATATGTGCATTTCATTTTCTTGTTGAGGAGCCTCGATCTTGAACTAGGAACCTCCTTGACTGAGTCTTGGCATATCCTAGTGATGCAATCACAAAGTGTGCAAGCATGCCCAAGCCTCTGAATTCTCTTCAAACACAGAAGAGATGTTGGTCTTTGATTGGCTGGCAACATGATTCTTCTGCTACCTTGGAAGCGTGGAGCTTCAGGATTGCCTTGCTACCTTAATAGCATGAAGCTGCAGGACTGGCCTGCTATCTTGCCTAGTCAGCAGAGCAGAACTCTCTGGTCGTATTTCTAAGTCAAGCTTCTCCAGCAAGGAGACACCCGTCCATCCACCACCCCAGTTTTGTTTTTTGCTTACCACTCTGAAGTTGAGCCAACCTCAGTCAGATGGGACCGCTGCGTCCAGAAGTGGGAAATCGATCTCCAGAGTGTGACCATTCCAGAAGATTAATTTACTAGTGCTTCTTCCAGCCCAGTTTTAAATGCCAGCAATAATTTTGATTGCTACTGTTTCCATTTCAGGTTCCATGCTTCTCCTTTACAATAACCTTCAGGTTAACTAGACAATCAATAGGAGTGTGGGTTTTCTGTCTTTTTTTAGTACACAGGGAAGATACAAATCAAGCCCTTTTTTTCCTTGTGCTTGCTTTAAGAGTTTGGCTACAATTGTCCACACGAGAGCACTTTTGCTTTGGTTTCTAGCTAGGTTTGCAGAGTTTTGATCAGGTGAGGGAATAAGGCAGAAATAGTGACATTTGTTTTAAGGGTTCCATTCCAGTCTTCTAGCATTGGTAGTGGTATTGCTGTTCATTAGTATAACTGCTTTGTGTGTGTGTGTGTGTGTGTGTGTGTGTGTACTCCCTAGGAGTGGGGCCAGGACACTAGAAGTCGTCCCGCTGTTGCCCCCCCAAGCACCAAGAATACAGAGCATCACTTGCCCCAGACTGAAAGATCCTATCTATACCTTGTGACTAATAGCCACTGATGGACTTCTGCTCCATATCTATATATCTAATTCCCACAGAGTCCACCCTCCAAAGCAGCCATTTTCTCCAGGGAGACAGATCTCTGCTGTCTTGAGTTCAGTTGTAATTGGGGGGGGGGGTGTCCTCCAGGCCCCAT